CCCCAAAACCCCAAAACCCCAAAACCCCAAAATTATAAAAACTAATTGTTTTCAATCCATAATGGAAGAATCTTTAGAGCAGAGCTGTTTAAGAAAAGAACGTATCATTAACAACGATTCGGTCAATAGCATTAATATTCGTTATTGACGAGGAATTTTTCAAGTGCGTAATCAGATCATGAAGTATTATCTTGAAAGGATGGCCAGGTGAGTTATTCGATGCTTTTAGATTTATTGTGTTATAGGAAACAAGCCGATTATTCATTGCTCCATCCTTCCTTTAAGAGTTGAAACCAATATGTCTCCTTGAAGCAGGGAAGGATAGGGTCTTTTAGAGTACTTAAGGAAATCCTGAAAAGGAAATTATACCATTTGAGGCCTATTTCTTGTGGAAATCTTTTGAAGAAAGGGGCAAAAAATACAAGTCAAAAGCTTGCCCTTCTTTGCAATCTGAAGGGATTTCTTATGTTAAGGATTCAAGATATTTCAGAGTTTATGTTCAAATAAAATAGTGATTACTTGTCAACATGTAAAAGAATTACATTTTGTAGGAGGGACAATTTTCGGAATCAAAGGCAAAAACTCTTTTAAGCCTCTTCCCAACATTGTCCAACTTAGTGTTGATACTCTCAAGTTTTCTCTTGGCTTTAAGAAAGATAAAGAGAAATATGATCTAGACTTGGTCAACTTTGTTCTCGAAATGGTGTCAACATCAGGGTCTGGACAATCTTTCAAAAAGTTGAAGAAAGTCATATTCTCTATGATAAGGATTAGAATGCAGGACGTCAAAAAAATCATGGAGATGTGAGTGTGCTGTTTTGTTTCACCCATACTTTTTAATTGAGGCCTAAAGATTAAAGCTTTATCATTCCAAGAAGCATTAGATTCTGCTCAAGCTACATTTTGCTGCCAAAATATCAATCTTTGAAATCTTCCTCTTAGATGTATAAAAGCCTCCCCAAATTCTTCAAGTAAATTTTACTGGGACAATTTTACTTTCTGTCCCAAAAGAGCTAATTTTCCATTAAATTTCTCTTCTTTACACAATCCCGCCTTCCAAATAAACCCTATTAGTACCTATCCTTCACCAATGTACTATTCCTTTACACTTCCTGGCCTTCCTAGCCCCAAACATGAACACTTCCAAATTCTGGTACTCATTCACCATCTAAATTCTTCCAATTTCTCACTCAGATCTAGAAGAGATGTGGCTCCATCGGTCGAAGTCAGAATAGAGAATGGCCCGAATCTCTATGTCTTCAGGAAGAGCCAAGATGGGGTTGTCGAGTTTAAAGAATATGATAATTCTTAATGATTTGGAGGTTTAGATCCTTTTTGAAGGTTTCAGTCTTAGAATGTTGATTTGGGGTTTTGGGGTTTTGGGGTTTTGGGGTTTTGGGG